CATGGTGAAATCATTCTAAGTAATGAGGACCAGAATCATGAATCTCTAAAAAAATTTTTTTTGCATGAGAGAGAAATTATTAAGTGAAGTTAGAATAGGGAGGCACAAGTATATCAAAACAACTTTCACCATCATAAAACTTGAAGGATACAGAGAGGTGGCTTTGATGATGTCCAAGACCCATTTTAGATAAGGGGGAAGGAATATTCCATAAAGAACTTGAGAATGTATATGGGTTTTTCTTTGAGTACAGTGAGGGTTTCAAAGAACACAATTGTAAAGGTTCAAGAAGGAGGTTAAGGTAAGGAGAGTTAAGGGTGTTGAGAGAGAACAGTAAATAAAAGAAAGGATAGCAGATTGGAGGTATTTGCACCTTTCCAAGCTATCTTATATATTTCCAAGAATGACAAGAATAAGGAACAGTGCTGTATTGACTGTACTAGGGATTGTGAGACAGAGCAAATTGAGTTCCACAAGGTTTTATAGGCCTAAATAAAGTAAACAGATCAAAATCTTTTTGCAACATTCAAATGGTATGTCACTGAGAAATTCAGATGTATTTTAAGAAGTCCCCCTATGCGGTTGTTTCAATTATCTTTGAATCCAATTGTACAGTGGAGGGTTAGTGCTTACTGTTATATAGCTGCATGGTTCTCAGATTTGGGGAATTTCAAAGGTCATTAAAAAGTTTTAAAAATGGGAGTGGGAATGATGTAGGTTTGCCAACTTTATTTTTTTCAAGTAAGAACGTTTTAAGATCAACAATTATTACGCAAAAGACATTTTAACATAAAAATATAGTTCCTTAAATTGAATAAATTTAATGTTATAACAAACTGCATTGTTTCTTTTTTTCTCATTTTACCCTGAATCAATGAAAAATTCATCACAGACCAGTATTGGTCCGTAGTTGGGCATTTGAGGATCACTGGTGTAACTTATGAATCTTGGAGAAACTTCCGGAAAGTGTCCCTGGGGTATACTTCTCACCAAAGAACTGGAGAAGAGAATTGGTTGCCTCTCAAATTTTTGTGTCCTGAGAGAATCAGTAGTTCAAGGTAGCCGGCAGACTGCCTAAGACTGTGTATAGTATGCACAGAGCAACTTAGAAGAAAACAACCCTTGAGTAGAATTCTCCCCAGTGTGTTTGAGGAAGGGCTTGGTTGGATAAAATGCTCTTAGCTCCAAGTGGAATTGCAGCCTGTGGTGGCTAAACCTTACTTAGGCCTTATTTGTCAGGTTTAATGCTATTTTTTGGAATCTTCTGTAAATGTAGATGAGGTCACAAAATATTATTTTGGCCCTCTTCTCATTGATCCAGTAGGTCTCAACC